TTGCGGGCCATCATCATGAAGCTGTCTTGGTGTCTTGGTGTCTGCGAAGCCAGAGTGGTGCACGAACAATAATAGTTTGCTATTGGTTAAAATGATGTGTGGAGATGGAGCTGGAGCGAACGCAGATCAAGACGATATGTGCCTTTCTCTACTGCGATCTCCATCTAGGACACAAAGCGAACACGCTCTAAAGGCGCGTGAGATGTAGATACATATTAAAAAAGGAAACTGAATAATTACACGCCTTTCCATGGCCAACCAATAGGTCTAACGTTCTACCGCGGCCTCTTCACAGCCGTGCGGTCTCTCGGCTTTCCGGCGTGCGTGCAAGATCGTATGGACAGTAATGGAGAGACCAGGATTCATGAACAGCTCCGATTCTGGCGCAGTTTGACCATGCTTCGAATAGGAATCCCGTTTCGGCGTTGCAGAGGCGTGGGCGACCGCTTGTCATAATTCTAGAAATGAAAAGATACAAAATGTTAGTATAATGCCCATCGCTAACGCACTGCTCCTCCTTGTCGGTACCTGGTACGTTCCTTTACAGCAAGCCGCAAATGACGTCTCGAAATCATTGTCTGTCCACCAGGCTTTGAACCGACACCGCGGCCACATCGAGCCCACGCAGCGTTGCTGTGGCGGCACAGAGTCCAGCACCACTGTCGGCGGCGCAGTGGTCTTTCTCAATGTGGCTGCATTCGTCGGAATCGTCGGATTCGTCGCGGGGAACGCGTTTGGCGTCGCATTGCATCCAAAGCGGGGGAAATCGAAAATGTGTCTGAGCCACTAAACACAGCTTCGTTGGCGTTATTTTGATTTATGATGAGTGTATCTACTTTGTAGGGGATAGCTGCAGAAGCGGATAAAACCATGGTCAAACCACCGGCTTTATTTTTTGTACAGATAGTCACTTTCCTATTAACGGGCCAGGTACTGTTCAGGCATGGAGCGTTTTTTTTTTTTTTTTTTTTATCATAATACGATTGTATTTCTTTGGGTATTATCCAGCAACCAAACCTGCAATAGATAACCTAGAGCTCTGTTGGTCTTGTACAACTTCTCTCATTTCGAAACACTTCGTGTGCTCAGCAAACACTGTCTAAGCTCCTCTTGTGCAGAGTGAGCGCATCCTGAGGTGAATCGGTGCCTTCAGCTGGCTTCGCTGACTTGTAGAACGAAATTGAAGAGGATGAAATCCAATTGGGATCGATTTAAAGGGAATCCCTATGTTGTTTTATGCCGCCCATTGCACAAAGCAATTTTCTGCATAGGGATTTGGCCTGCAGTGGTGGCTCTCTCCGTCGCCGAGTCACTGGTGATTTGAATTTTGTATTCAATCTTCGTTTAGTAGGGGTGGGATTGGTTTTCGAGGGCAGTTATTGTAGGGTCTGAACCTGTTCGTCTAGTGCAATGCATACCTGTTGCCTACCAGTGATTCCTAAGGTATAACAAAAGCAAATTTTAAAGCTTCTTCGCGCAAGGCATGATTTTGTTTGGCTTGCAGGAAAAAAAATCTATCAACTCTACTACTGTAGCAATGATGCGTCTTTCGAAAATAGTTCGCGTTAGTTTTGGTTACACTAGGTGCAGCATGGCTCCGTTAAATGTTTTTAAATGATGAATAGTCATCCATTTTGACGAACATGTAAAGTGGCCTGTTGGAGCTCCTAACAATGTGTAGCTAGAGTCTTGAGATAGTCCAGTACCGGTCATTCGTATCGTACCCAAATGTGGTGTAAAACTTGTAATAGCATAACATTGCACTCTCGCGTGTTCTAGCAATATAAGTCTAAACAGTTAAGTAACAATTCACATGTTGTATCAATTATTCACTTATCATGAATAGAGTCTTTTTTGGAGATATACTTGACATATCTATACTTCGTAAAAACTATTTACGCGTTTAGGTGTTCTAGACAGGTTACATGTTCACCGTGATATACGGTAGTTATGATATCAATTAAGGAGGAATTTTCTTATCTGAGTGGATATCCACTCAGATGTCCCCAGGTAATTTCCGAAAACGACCCACTCATTTTTTAGGAGTAGGTTTAAGGGGAACATCGCAGAAAAGATTGATTGAGATTTCAGTACTTAAATGTTTGAGACCAATTGGCCAACTAGTATGCACTGTGAGTTCATTCTGTAATCGGCGGCGGAATTCAAGATGGGTCCAGCGCTACGCAACGGGAAGAAGGTGACACACCCGAAAGTACCCCA